TATATATATTTTTTTTTTTATTTTAGCCGCTAGTGTTTTACGAATGATGTTTAACGCAATCGGCGAAAAAGCTCATACATTGGCACTCCGTAATTATTTAATGAAACGAAAGTATCTTACAGCACGTCCTACAGATTTATGGGAAAGTTTCGAGTTATCGATACCAATTGGCAATAGAAACGCAAGTATTGAAGAAGTCATGAATACTTGGACAAATCAACCAGGATATCCCGTTGTGAATGCTACGTTAACTAATAAAATAATAACACTTACTCAGGTAACATTATGCAGTTTTTATTAAGCTCTTCTCTAACATTTTCTCACATCTATTTCTATAATTCTATAACTTAATTTAACGTGTTGTAGGAACGATTCTTGATAGACAGAAATACTTCTAGCAATGAATTTTATTGGATACCAATTGATTTATTCGTTTCATCCAACCTGAAAACGTATGCTGGTGTATCTTTAGAAAACAAAACATGGCTAGGATCAGAACCTCAAAAAATATTTATTAATTCTATTAACGACTGGTTTATCGTGAATTACAAACAAACTGGCTTTTATCGTGTTAATTATGATAATTCCTCATGGCATGCGTTAATTGACAAGCTAAATAGTGAAAGTTTCGAAGATATTCATGTCTTGAACCGGGCACAAATTATAGATGATCTCTTTAACTTGGCTCGCGCTAATTACGTGGAGTATGATCTATTAATAAAAGCATTGGCATATTTGGGAAGCGAGACGAATCACTTACCATGGAAAGCATTTTTCAATGGTCTATCATATATCTATAAAAGATTCGAACTGCCGGAGGATCTAAATAAGGAGAAGAATTTCCAGGAAGATCTAAATAAATACGTTTTGAAATTATTGTCTAAAACGTACGATAATGTAGGATTCAGTGATCGCGATGATGATAATTATTTAAATAGGTTACATCGGGAAATGATTCTTCAATGGGCTTGCAAGTTAAATAAAGCAGAATGTATACAAAAATCTGTAGACTTATTTGCGACTTGGCGCAAAAATAGTTCCGAACGGTAAGATTCTAACAAATTTTGAGTAATAATTATTACATTATGACATTTGTTTTAATTCTAAATATCTGACATATTTTTCACATGTCTTCACCACTTATCTTTTCATATAAAAATCAGAAATTTTTATTTAAGAAATTTCGAAACATATAATTGAA